TGTTCGCCATCTTGAGTATGTTTGGATTTCAACACCTGTACTCATATAAGCTTCCCTTGGGCTATTAATGCCATGCTGTGCACTGATATGTCATACCTTTTAACTAATACATTACATAAAATGTATCACATCAGTTTCCACTACATAGATACATACATGAGGCTACATCAGTTGATTTTATTTAACTGGAGCCTTACTCACTGTGAGCAGTAACTAACTAATTTAATGCAATTCTTCCTAACTGGCAGATCTAACCATTACCCTGTCTCACTTTTCTTCCTGGTTGCTTTTTGTCTTTTCTTTCCCTTTCTTTCTCTCTGGTTTCCTCAGCTTGGCTTTGCCTTCCCCTTTTAAACCATCTACCTGTGGCTCTACTTTTTTCCTCAGAGTATTTTTAATTTCATTTACTCTGTATTACCACAAGCCAAGAATATTGACCAACCAGTCTAGCATGCTATCTGCATCGTTGTGGGACATTGCCATAAATCATGATTCATTTGTGGATTTCAATTCATTACAGTCTGATTGTTACTCTCAAAGGTGCTCAGTGATAACAGGAGAATCTGTAGTGATCCCATGCTTCTTCACATGTTTCTAAAGTCTATTGTTTCCCTCTTCAGTGAAATACAGCAGAAATACTATGTGACAACTAATAACATTTTAGAATTTGATAGTGTATCAGTGCCAGATTTAATTCCCAGTACCTTGCCATCTAGTGATCAAAGGCAAAACATTCGTCACAAGACAATTTAGGAAGGAAGAACTGGGAACTGGTTTTAAATACGTCAGGAGCAGAAAAGTTTTATTTCAAATATGTAGACTCTGCATTGGACAAAGGAAACTAAATAAGATTTTGAGGGCCATTGCACATACAAACATCAACAATCAAGGAGAAATCCCTGCATTTTGCTTAACATTTTCAGTTTATGATTTATTGATGCTATTAAATTTGTTTTGGGGCCAAGGCCCATGCACAGGACTGTCAAGATTTAAAAGAGTAGTAAAGAGGATGAGACTAAATTAAGATGTAATAGCGTCGCTATGTTTGGGAACTAAAAGCTTGTCATAGACCTTGGATGATTTATTATCAGTTTTACTGCCGCTGATTTCTGTTAGGAGCAAGTTCAATTTGCGCACAAATACTTTGCAGACATCAGAATCACTCAGAATCACTCTTATCAAAAATATACTTTTTTACTGTTACTGGTTTATGGCTCAGGCTCCCATGTGTAAACGACTACCAGGTTGTTAGAAGGCAAACTGGATGGACCTAGGTCTTTTCTTGCCTAGCAAATTCTTATAATTTTATGATTCAAAAACAGTGTGATGACATTAGGAAGCAATGTGCCACATGCAGCATAAAAAATGAAGACTGTGGCCCAGTTTAGACTAGTCTGCAGTGAAATGCTATTCTCAAGGTTTACCTCTTTAACTGCATTTTCAGTTATCCTTTTCCTTCCCATCTTCTTCAGCCCACCTCCCCACCCTTTTGGTTGCCCAGGATGCAGTATGAAGTGCTTTCAGATGTCCTCCTGACATAAAAGGTGCTATATAAATGTAAATTGTGTTATTGTGTTCAGTGGCTGCCACTGTTAAATGGTCCACAAGCACAGCATGATTGTAATTTATGAGGTATTTTTATTTCTTGAATCGAACAGTTTGCCTGGGTAACAAGGTAACAAATTTACTCAGCAAGCGTTTCAGACTCTATTAAAAATTGAATCGTTTGGGATTGGAATCAAGGGTTATTGTTTCATCTTAGAAGATAAATCAAAGATTTTCCAACAGACTGTTTTATGGTAATGAGGGAAGTTGGGGGAAGCAAATATTTATTACATTGAATGGGCTAAAAGCAGACGTGCCCCTCCTACTCCATGTCATGCTCAATCACAAAATCAGGCGTTGGGCCTGCAGCTCCCAAATCTTCCACTTAATCTTTTTGAGGCATTTTACTATAACGCTGTTATCCAAGAAATTGAAAGACACATCCAAGATCCAAAGATCTGGCTTCTCCAAGTTCACTAATGAGAGCTATGTCGGGTGGTGCGGCCTGCCTCAGGCCCAATTAATCTGATAGATATCACATGGATCCCAAATTTCGCCCCGCTAACATGTATCGCTCGTATTTATTTTCTGTTTTATGAGTTGTAGGAAGCAACATCACTCATGGGTTGTACAAAGAAAGTGTCGCAATACCCAGCAGGCCCAAGTTCAGTAAAACTGTCTGTTTCTCTAAATTATTAAGTTCATGAATCTGTCGCAATATGAATTCCATGAAAGATGAATAAGTATTAGATATTACCACACTTTTGGCTTTCCACCAAAATACAGAAGCCACTTATAGCTTCATATACTCTTGTGAAACTGATGTTATCATTGGTATAGTGAACTATTATCAACACATTACTAGTTTGCCAAGAAATGTAATGCTTGAAACAGATGGTTGGATCAGGAATTTTATAAAGTGCAGATAAAAGGCCAATTTTCATATCTTTGTGCTGCAGCCCATTTGGTGATTAAATCATCAACTCAATCTAAACAAAAACAGAAAGCATTGAACATGAAAGTGATTAGACTTTTCACTATGTGCTATGGTCTCTGAGTGGAACTCGGATTGACTGTTAAGTGCATTGATCATAGACAAAACCAAATAATTGGGCAACGTTTTATACTGAGATTAAGATTTCTGCAAAACAGCATTGAGTAATTTGTTTGCTTTGGAGTGATAGAGAAATTCCACCTGGTTCTAGATTAGCTCTATTTATGTAATTTAATAAATAATGCATTCATTTTTAAGTTTTGTAGCTCTTTTAAGAAAACTGACAATAAAGTTTGCCAAATTTGGACCCTAAAATATTATCTAAGTAGAGTAAATTTAGACCTTGGTGGAAATTCTCCTCTCTACAGCTCAGGTACGCTTTTTATTTTTGTTCATATTAGTAATATATTTTGCACCCATACATTTTGCCCACAATACATACAGTTAATTCACTTTACAATATAATCTATGAAGTGTCTAGAAGACATGAGAAGGAGCTATATCAAATGCAAGGATTATTATTATATTTTCAATAAATAACATCATTTTTGTTAAATTGTAGAACTCTGATTATTCTCTTTATTACTAGCTATTTAAAACAATTGTGCAGGCTCATTCAAGAGTATAGATGGGGATGTGTCTATCTGGTGTGAGCAAGATCAGGAAATCACTGTTTGAGGGATCAGTCATTACCCTGAATTATATTGTGTTGTATGTTAGGAATATGTTGTCCCAAATGCACTCCAGGTTCCTTCAGAATTAAAGAAAAATCTGTCAGGTTTATTATTTAGTGTACTACATAATCTCAATTACATATAGATTTAATTCTAATTTAATTCTAATATTCAGTTGAGAAATCTTTCTAAAAATCTGTCATTTTTTTGGCAATAAATAATGTGTATTTTGATTAATGGCTTTGCTCTTAATAAACCCAAGATTTATCAGGAGAGCCAAATTCACAAGCCCATAGAGAACAAGCGATTAGAGATGTCCTGATGTGAAAGGCACTCTATAAATGTAACTTATATTTTATTGTATAGTTATTCCTTCATACAATCCTGACAAATTTAAATTATTATTTAAAGAGAGAGTGTCATCAATAGTGGCTTAAGCTCAACCCATTACATGGAAATATGATTTATTTTTTGTTTGATTTCTGCATGTATTGCTTTGGGTTAAATATTTTTGTTCAAAGAGTGAATATGGAAAACATTGATGCGGACGTTGAACAGAGTTGTTAGTGAGTCAGACAATGTGAGAGCAGAGTTAACACACACAGTTGGAATGACACCTCTGTTGAAGCAGCCTGTGCTCATGACTGATGTTAACTTTACTGCCTCACACTGTGGGTTTAATATCACCTCAAACAAAAGGTTGGTAAGATTAGTCATGAATCTTTGCATAAGTTTGGTTTATAAACGGTTGAATTTTTAAAATAATCAGTCACATGATACAATTCTTGTATTCTGATCAACTTGGTACATGGTATGAAGATAAGATATTTTAACACAAGAAATCTGTGAGAGAGTAGAGGTGACTTTCCAATCATTGGTGGGTTTACCAAACTTGTTGGGCAAGCATACAATAAAACTTACAGTGAACCTTGACCAACACATAAACTGTTTCTATTATAAGATTCCACGGCCAAGCCACAACCAATTTCACAAACCAGTAGAGAATAAGCCAACCAAGGTCTTTCACAACTTTCATTTTTAAATGTAGCATGCCTTAAAAAGAATTCACATGAGTCTCTGAAGCTCTAAGCTACCATTTAGAACCAGAACAAATGCATCTTCAAACATTAATCTGCAGTATTTAACATCTATCATTTCATAATCAGCTTGGCTCAGTTGGCGTCATTTTTGCCTCAATATCAGATGGTTCTTATGGTTTTTAGCCCCACATCAGTTCATAATCCACACTAACAGTCAAATGAGGTGAGTGTTATGTTGTCAATATTGCTATTCTTCAGATGAGACATTAAACCAAGGTCTTGTCTGCCTGTTCAGGTGGATGTTAAAGATCCCTTGCATTATTCGAAAAGTGAAGGGAGTTTCTTTCAGTGTCCTGGCTAACAATATTCTAAATAAAATCGATCATTTGTGTCATGGCTGATTGTGGGACCTTATTGTGTGCAAATTAGCTATCGCAACATTTACAAATACAATTACAAAATAGTCTCAAGTGTTTTGAAACATTATACATGGTTTATCAAATGCAAGTATTATTACTGCAAAAATACATTTTGATGTTTCATAATCAGTTTGTAACATGCTATTAATTTGGATGCAAATGCATATAACATCTGTTAGTTGAATCAAAAGAAAATATTAATGACTATATGAAGTGTAATTTTCAGAAGCAGCTAAATTTAGTTATGACCATTCAGGTGGAGAAGTGCAACTGCTGAACAGATTTTCCTATTCTTATGTTCAGTGTTTTTTTTTATTTTGCACCAAAGTTATTCTGGAGAGAAAAAGATCCGACTGCAAAGCAGACATTCCTACCAAGAAGCCAATTGCAAGTACTGGAAGGTTCATCAGCCTAAGCAGAGGCTTTGATCCATATGGATCCACACTGTCTTGGCATCAACCCTGGAGGCATGGTAAGTGCATATTTAATGATAGGTGGAGAACAGTGAGGTTAGGAGGCATCTGGTCTTTTGCTACTTAACAGGCTCATTCAAATCAATCTCTGAATTCTGGAAAATTAAGTTGGCTGAACATTCAACTCAAATACTGCAATTAAAATGATTCTCAACTCTTTGCACACAAGGCCACTGTGCCTAACATATGCCTGCTCTAGGGTTCGTCACATATACATTGACTGACGAAAAGAAGTTTAAATACAGCCACATTTTATAAACATCTTCATAGGCCACTGGCCTTATTCTCAAAAGCTCAAGATAGAGAACAACTTCTGTTATTGGTTTGCCACCATGCTTGGAAATAAATAATTGTGCCTAAACAATGAAATAAAAGCTGAATCAGGGCAGATTCTATAGATTTTAGGTCATTAAAAATCTGCAATAGTGACTAAGATCTTACTTAATTTTCTGAACTTGGAGCCAACATGACATAATAGCCAATAATCAAATTGGTTGCAATAGTTGCTATAAATAAACCAGGATAAATGTGATTTAGTTCCATTGAACTTGTATTCAGGTATCTCCAGAGTGTTGCAACAGTCACAGTTTTCTTAAGGATGTTAATTAAAATGCATTGATCCTGGAGATGGAACATTTTATTCAGGCCTGGGCTGCTTCCTAAAATTGGCAGTGACATGGATGGACACTTCCTCTTCATTGCAGCTGCAACAACTGTTAGTTTAGTGGAAAAAAAATCATTATGTTTAAAAAAATCTCCCCATGTCCTTTCACAAACAATTCACTATTAAGATAGTTCAAGTGTCGTTCGATATTTACTCCTACTTGCAGTCAGTTGAAATTGAAGGAACCGTTTGAAGATCACACATGATTAATAGACTTCTGCATCTGGAAATTGTATCCAATAATGCCATGTTGTGCACCAGACATATGTTATCAACCTTAACTGTTAGTGTAAAATGAAAAGTTGGTCACATTTGAATGCTTGGCTAAGCTTAAAATTGCTAATTATTACACTACACAAGTCTCGTTTTCTGGATGCAAGTGCTTGGTTGGAAATAAGAGTGTTGTATCTTGAGCATTGCCTGGTATTACTCAAAAATCATTTATTACTACAATATGCGACACTGCCTCTGTTCGTACAAAATACTTAATTGATAATTTCTGTGATGCATTGCCTATCTGTATGTGGAAGATTTTGTTTACTATATTAGAATGCAGGCTTATGTATTTGGAAGCACCATAGTACATTGGATGCATTGGGGCCTAATTTGTGATCTGGGCAAAAAAGTATGTAAATAGCAAAGATTGTAAGTATCTGGATGTCTCCGAGACTGACCCTCCAGGACTTCTCTCAGATGCAATCTTCACCAAGCCACCTGTTGGTTTTCACAAACTTCCATTGCCTTCAATCTTCATGCAAGCAGAGTTCTTACCACCATTGGTAGTGTTCCATAGGGTCAAGTTCAGACTCATCCAGGTCCCAGAAGGATTCATCAGTTAGTAATCTTTCCGCGAATTACCCAAATTGATCCCAACGTCACTGGTGTATCCTAGTTGGTCATTTCCACTGGTTTATCCTTGATGACCATTATTATATTGACAAAAGGTTTCTATAATACATCCCAAAATATTCATAGTCATTCCACGACCCAATTATAACAATTATCGTCCTTGTATGTGTAACTTTCTAAAATACTATAATATTGGCAACTATATTATATAGTGTTTATTACATAATTAAGGGCATCTGGATACAGTTGTTCATAGTTAGCCCAACCTGTAAATTTTGCATTTGGCTGTTAATTCAACCTGAAAATTAGATCCCAATGATTTTCATCGTAAAAGTAACAGAGTTTGGGGGGAGGAAATGTGTCAGTTTATCTTTTGACAGACTGGGTCCTATCACTTGTTGACACATAACTGACATCAAACTCGTAGTTAATGGATTGTATGTAAAGCTTGGTTTGTATAGACTCTCACACTCATGTTCAAATCATTTCATGCCCTGGCACCTTCTTACCTCTTTGACCTGCTTACACTCCACTCTACCCGCCCCCTTCGCTCAGCAGGCCCCAGCCTCCTGCAAGTCCCTCGTACCCTCCACCAACCTGCAGCCATGCTTTCAGCCACTACGCCCCTACGATTCTGGAACTCTCTGCCTTAATCCCTCTGGCTTGCCCCTGCTTGCCCATCTTCAAATTACACCGTAGATCTTTCTCATCAACCATCCATACAGTCACCTCCCCTCTCTTCCTGTTTTGGTATCAAGACTGTCACTGTTAAAAGCTCTGAAATGCTACGCTATGTGAATGGTGCTACAAGTTGTTGTGGACAAACAGGTTGTGAATTGTGTCCATTCAACAATTACAACAAATGTATATTTACGTATCTTATTTCACTTCAGGAGGACAGCAGCAACAACAACTTGCATTTATATAGTGTCCTTCAGGCAGGGTAGCATCCAAAGGCTCTTAAAAGTCCAGTCTTGGCACCTGAGCAGAGAGTGGGGAGCCAAGGAAGGTGGTGGGAGAAGAATATCCCAAAGGGATAGTCAAAGAAGAATGTCTTGAAAAGGCCTTGAAAGAAGCGATAGACAGGGTGAGTCGGAAGGATCCCAGAATGGACTACCAGAGAGTAAGGGTTGATAGAAATTATTTTATTGTTGTATCATTGTATTTTGCCACTGATTCAAAGGTTCATTTAGAAAATGAGCGCACACAATGGCAGAGTTGAGAAAAGATATTTCAGTTGAATTGAATACTTTATTTGTACAGACAAGATTGGAAACCACATTTTTAAATAAAAAACAGCTACCAAAATGTTACTGACGCTTCTTGTGAAACAGTACTATTTCTAAATAGTTAATAAACCTTGTAGATGTGAACTGAAGTGTGAAATATGAGGGGAAATAACACTAGGTCAGTATCTGAAAGCACCACTATTTTGAAGGCCTCTATTTTCTCTTATGCCACCATAGGTACAAAACTGAGTTCAAAGAGACACCAAGAATTTATTTTAAAAAGATCTATAGCCTTTCAACACACAAAGGAGTAAAGTTTGTGATGAACAATAATATGTTCCTTGTGGTAATTAACGTGAAGAACATGCTATGAAACTCTGCCAACTTTACCTCAGTATTCCCCAAAAAACAACATGAAAAATCTTGGAAAATAACTGAAAGGCTCCAAAGGTGTCAGTTGTGACCATTCTCTTTGCTGTGGAAGACACCACCCATTAGATATATATTTTTTCAAACTATTCTGCTTAATTGAAAACCTGCTGTTACTTCCTGAATCTCATTGGTGATGAGGCTGGAGAATGTTTCTCTTTTTTACTCCTTTTTATCTCCGTTAGCTGATGTGCAGATCAGATCATCTTTTGGCATGGCTAGTGCACACATACACATTGCTTGTTGTTTGTTCGGTGGCCCAGATTTGGCACAACCGTTCGGCCCAAAGGGTTTGGTGCTCTGGGACACTTCCTGCATGAGGGGCCTATGTAGATGCATGTTGTTGTTTTTGCTACCTGGCAATGTTGCTTGGATTGAAGGGGGCAGCATTTCAATGCCATTTAATGGGATACCATCTGAGTCAGGCCAGTGTACTGTGACCATGGAACTCGAAAGCTATTGTCCATAATCAAGAACAATTGCATTACTTTCCAGGGGAAGCAAAGATAGTGCTGGTTGGAGGCTTTTACCATGGACAGTAAACTATTTTTGCCTAGGTCGACTGCAATTTTAGTCAGAGTGAAGTTGATCATATCACGTCATATTTTTAAGTTATTGGTTTGACTGACAAGCATGTCTCAAGGGAACAGCTATTGCAAAAGCCTGGCTATACTTTCCGTTAGGCTCAATCGGATCAGTAGTAAATATTGCTATCCCCACTTGTCAATCACTGTCACCACATGAACACCATGTTAGTAAAAAGATTTATCTTTTAACCACAATATTGTAATGCACAGTATGGAAATATGTTTTGCTTGCATTCTTTGCTGAGAATCCTCCCTATTTGTATGCCCATACAGCACTTTCCTTCATAATTTTAACAAAACCTGTGTTAAGTAAATAATTAGATCACAAACTAATTTCAGTGCAATGCATTTCATAACTCATAGGAAAGAAAGTGCGCGTACAAGGAGTTATAACCATCAAGTTAAGACCAAGGCTTGAAAACTGTAACTGGTCAGGGGAATCAGAATAGCTGCTATGATAGTAATATTGGTTCTAGTCCTGCCACCAATATTACTATCATAGGAAAGGGATGATCAGATTGCGGATCAGTATGTCACTGAACAGCTTCTGACTGATAATAGACAATTAAAGATTCAGTGTCTGTACAGTAGAAAGACAATTATCTACATTAGTTGGGAGTGGCCCCATTGTGGCCAAACAACAATGTGGATGAATGATCATCACACAAAATATAAATTGGCTACCACTGACCAAAAGCACAACAATCAGATTGTTTTTGCTGGTATCTTACAGCCCCTCATGCACTTCCTTAACACAGCCCAATGGGGATAATAATCCTTGCATTTGATATAACGTTTTATCAGGTCTTCGAGACGTCTCAAAGTGCTTCACAAAATATACTGTAAAGTGAATTGATTTTATATTTTGTGGGCAAAACGCGGCAGCCAATTGCGCACAGCAGTGTCCCATAAACAGTCGTGGATTGAAGTGACCAATTTTTTTTTTGAAGGAATTATTACCCCCGGAAAAGCAATCTGCCAATTGACTAACCACCGGGTTCCTACTTACTGCTAGGTTAACAAAGGCATGTGGAGTAAGGAAACTTCCCAACATTTCGCCCTGCTGGGAATTGAACCCAGGTCTCTTGCTTGCGAGGTGAGTGCTCTCGCCACTGAGCTACAGGACTCCACAGGATAGTGAACATCTGAACAACAACAACAAATTACATTTGTATAGCCCCTTTCACGTCGGGAGGACAACAACAACTTGCACTTGTACGCCAAGCAGTATAGCATCTCAG